TAAATCTTCAATCACAGACCCTGCAACACAGAGCTCTGTGCTATCAACTGGAATAGCACCAACGTGGTGGACAATGAGTGACTTTCCAGAAGTTCCTGAGAAATAGCAACAAAAAAAATAACCCTCAAGATATAAGTTGTCTTATGCCAGCCGTCTTGGTCTTGTGATCAGTTCCAAAATAAAACAAGCACAACTATAAGGATCAAGGGGGAACTCACTTGTAAAATTTGATAAAAAAGTCTCCATGGTTTTTTTCCTGAGATACAGTGGTAATAATTTTCACAGTCAAACTCCAAGATAAACCACCAGGTAGCAAGTTTTAACATACAGTCAGTCACAAAATGGAACACCCACAATTTAATAACAAGACCAATGGAACCAAACTTGAAAACTGCGAAAGACCTATCGTCTATCGAGAACTTTCTGAACTAGAAGTAACAGACATTAACTGTCAAAACTTGGGATAATCACTACCCGAGAGAAATGATGTTCGGAATCAGGACAGGGTCCCAGATTACACCAGGATATCCGGATACTTTGTTGGGACTCTCAGTGTAAATCCTGTTGGTGTCCAGGCCAGTGAAGGTTGCACACCTGGTTTACCTATAACACAGAGTTATTGGCAGGAAGAACAAAGTCTGATGTTGTCTATTAATGTAAGAAAACACCTGTCTTAACATTGCAACATAAAAGATGGACCCAACTCTTGTTTTGTATTTATATATATACATGTATATAATTAGAATTAGGAAGATTATAGATGTTTTTCACAAGTGCGGAGCACAAGTGAAAATATCAGTATTTGTGCCATACAAGTGAAATATATATGGTATTTAACGGGAAAACTCTTAAATTTTCTATTTATTACATTTTTTTAACAACACGACACAAGTATTGCTGCACCAAAAAAAAAAGCCGGAATTAGTAGCCTAATATTTGACACAAGGTTCTACCGACGACATGCTAGAGGGTTGCTCAATACAATTCTGCTGTTTGCTGCTATTTATATGTAAATTTTGTAAGATTTGGAAACAAAAATAATATCAATTGTTAAATTAAAGATGATGAAGTGAAGGTGTACTAAAAACAACAATTTAATTTGCCATTGCATATGTGCCACGCAACTTAGGGAAATCTCCCTCATTCCAAATATCAAAGACGGGTAGTGCATCACAACCCTAATATATTTTGTATATAATATACATCTGTAATAGTACTTTGCCACTACATGGTGTTCTAGATCGTCAAATGCGTTGAAAAATCTGAACTTGAAACTGAAAATCTACGCAGAGAATACTAAGTAACGTTCTGATTGGACCATACTAACGGTGACATTTTCACATATGATGATATAACATTTCGTATTGAAGATACAAGCTTTTATAGAAAGGACAATTCCTGATATTTCACTGGTGAAAATGTTATAAATAATATAAACCTGTTTGATGCATACCCGTGAGATCTCAACAGGATATGAAATTAAATTGAAATTCTCAGTTTGTTGTATACTTATCCCATTAAAGCGATAAATCAACGTTTTCTTGAACTATATGATGCATGAAAGTCGATATCATTTCAGAAAATTGCAAAACATTCGCAAGATATTTAAATTTTCTAGATGAATATATTATGTCACTTGCCTGTATTCGGTTTGGTGCAAGTTCTTAATCTATTCAAACGATCTGCAAAAGTTCATAGAAACATGAGCGACAGTATTTGAGGAATTGAGATTTACTGGATCTAGCCGTTCTGTAACGGTCCGTAAAATGCGACTTTTTAAGAAAAAATACCATATTTGTGTCTTTCTAATGAAATGACACATCTGTTTTCTTAAAAGAAAAAAACATGCATTTACAAGTTCTCTGACTCAGCTTTTTGAAGCATAACTTAGATACATTGTGTGTCCTAACACCGCTGCACAGCAATTATTTCCCAATGTCTAGCCGTTATGTAACGCTACGCTGTTTTGCATCGAAAACGTTAATTCGAACGTCATTTTCTTGTTCTGTTTATGAACACAATTTAAAGTTTTTGGTGACTATTTTATGGTTGTATATTTCACGCAATAACAGCCAAAACATGCATACGTATTAATAATATTTCAGGGTTTCATTTCATGCACATTTTCTGATTATCCGTTTTCAAATTTCCAACATATTTTGTGTGAAGGATGTTGCATTTATTTCACGATTTAGTTTTTCATAATTCTTACATAAGCTGAGTGAACGAAATAACTGGTTTTAGCTGGAAAAAGTGATATTTTCTCAATGGAGAGATGAAAAGATGTGTAATATCGTTACTTTAAATTTAAAAACATCCCATAACAATGAGCTAAATTGGATGTCGATGGCATTAATAATAAGATGTGGGAAATTGATTTTATTTGAACATAATAGTAAGGGAAAATCACTACTTAGTAAATGATGACGTTACGTCAATCACTTTTAAGGAAAACGCAGAGAGAGATCGAGATCTAATAAAGACATCAATGAATCAGCTCTAGGTATTCAAAGCAAAAGATGACGAAACCGCGTGTATTTTTTTGATATGAAATTGTTCAGAAAATAGCTGAATCGTTTTCAGATAAGAAATTGACCCCGTAAGACACGAAAACTTTGTTTACATATTTCTAAACATCACAAAAACAAACTGTTTACAACTTTGACAGACAGAAAGCAGGTACTTTCGACACAAAGAAGCATTTTCCATACAATGTATGTTAAAAAAGCAGGAATTTTAGAGTAAAAGTATCCCGTATGAGGTCACAATAACGTAATCTCTCCTTAACGACGTACTGTAATACTTTGATGCGGATGCTGGATGTTGGATGCTTGTTGGTAGATACTAATAATCTGGTGGCAATGTTTTATGATGTGAACACATGAAGACGCGTTAGTGCTTTAACTGTATACTATTTATCAAAAATTGAAAGTAATAAGTGCATCAGAATTTGGTACATCACATGATAATCGGAAAGTGTCACAAACAAAAGTTTGCATATGTTGGATAGACTCCCCCCGCTCCAATATAACCGAATATTGACACCTCCTGTTATTATGATATCAATCCCACCGACTATTGTCACCCTCTTGTTATTATGATATCAACCTCACAGAATATTGTCACCTCTTGTCACTAATGATATCAATTCCACCGACTATTGTCACCCTCTTGTTACAATGATATCAAATCCACCGACTATTGTCACCCTCTTGTTACTATGATATCAACCTCACCAAATATTGTCACCCTCTTGTTACTATGATATCAACCCCATCGAATATTGTCACCCTCTTGTTATTATGATATCAACCTCACCGAATATTGTCACCCTCTTGTTATTATGATATCAACCTCACCGAATATTGTCACCTCCTGTTACAATGATATCAATCCCACCGACTATTGTCACCCTATGATATCAAATCTATTATGATATCAACCTCACCGAACCCTCTTGTTACTATGATATCAACCTCACCGAATATTGTCACCTCCTGTCACTAATGATATCAATTCCACCGACTATTGTCACCCTCTTGTTACAGTGATATCAAATCCACCGACTATTGTCACCCTCTTGTTACTATGATATCAACCTCACCGAATATTGTCACCCTCTTGTTACTATGATATCAACCCCATCGAATATTGTCATCCTCTTGTTATTATGATATCAACCTCACCGAATATTGTCACCTCCTGTTACAATGATATCCATCCCACCGACTATTGTCACCCTCTTGTTATTATGATATCAATCCCACCGACTATTGTCACCCTCGTGTTAAAATGATATCAATCCCATCGACTATTGTCACCCTCCTGCCACAATTATATCAATCCCACCGACTATTGTCACCCTCGTGTTAAAATGATATCAACCTCACCGACTATTGTCACCCTCTTGCTATTATGATATTAACCTCACCGAATATTGTCACCTCCTGTTACAATGATATCAATCCCACCGACTATTGTCATGACATAAGATATCTTATATAGTGACGAGATTTCACATTATATAAGATATCTTATATAGTATATGAGATGTATTATACATTAAATAAGATACGTCCTACAGAAATTTAAATAATACATTTTGTACTGCATGTGAGATATCTTATATAGCATCTCATTTGATTTCTATGTACATGTAAGATATCTTGGATCTGGGGACTCCCCAGTTAAGAATATAGAATGTTGAGAGGAGATGTACAACTCTACAAAATCATCAATGCCATTGACGTTTTGGACAAAGACAAAATTATTAAAAAGGCTATATGGTCACAACAAGAGGAAACTCAAAAGAAGCTTTTCAAGAGAAGGATGGGGCTCAACGTAACCAAGAACCTGTACATTAATGGGGTCGTGGACGTGTGGAACTCTCTCCCAAATATAGTTGTAGAAGCCCCGGGCCTCCCTGAATAGTTTTAAATCCCGGCTAAACAATCGCTGGTGTCATCATCACCAAAAATGTGTACCTACATGTTACTCACAACCGGACACAACTATAGAACAGTATATAGATGCGTCTCAAGAAGCTGGACCGGCTTACATCGACGTCGACACTACATGACAACTACATGAATACTTATATATTATAAAAGATATATCATGTAGCATATAATATATCTCATATACCATATACGATAGCTTATATAGCTTTATGAAATTTGGGATCGACATTGCTCCGTGAATAAATGTTAAGTTGGCTTGCTAAGTAACTTTCGATTAATCCTGTTCAGAATTGTAAATCTCCTTGAACAAACTCATGGTATTCCATGTGACCTATTTACTGTGCTAAATATAAATACCTTTCTTTCAATTTTAACTTTTGAATTATGTAAGTTATGAATAAGCTGTTCAAAGAAAATGATTGAAATAAGAGGGACTTTGTCTTAATTTAAACACAATTGACTGTCTTAAAAAATGATCATGTCATTCCTGGTCAGGTCATTGACATTAGGAGGTCCCAAAATACAATTTCCGGTATAGGCCAATTTAGTTCTTCCGGTTGGAGATAACGAACGGCGCATCGCTTCCAGGCAGATCAGACTAGACCGTTCCACAAGACCACTGCAGAATGACACAGGAAACGTCGAAACTGAAGGTTTTCAGGGAAGCTGAAGTTAGAAACAACAAGGATAAATCGACCCTCCTCATCATACATGATAACGTTTACGATGTGACGAAATTTCTGGAAGAGGTAAAGTCCGAAAGATACATTAGACTGAATGTGATTTTTGGGGTCAAAATCTATCACGCTGATCTTTTATAAGGTTTGTCATGGACTGTAATGCGACAGATGTCACGGAAATGAAAACTGAAATGATCCGTTCACATATAATAAGCATTTATATTAGGCCTATGATATGTGTTAGTGTAGCGAAATTGCGTTTTATGGATATATTGGTTTCATTCCTTTTTTTTGTTAGTCGGCGAAACTGAAAGTACGTGCATGATCTGTTTAATCTATCCAACTCAGCACCATCTTTGATTTCAAAAGAAGCAATTTCAATTAATGGCATAGCTTACCACCCTAGGCCACTTTTAGAAGGTGGCAAGTCATAGAATCCTTTAACATAAAGATGACGCAATCAGGGTCGCATGAAGTNAATCATACATAATCCATTACATATGATTAAATCAAACTCTGTTCATGCTAGACATATATCGATCTACTAGTATGGATGTTTGTCTTGGTTCACGATCAGTATAATAATATTCGTCGCATGTGAGCACTTTGCGACGCATCCTGAAACTCGATTTCCGGAAACGGCTACCCGAAAAATAAGTCACGATATGAGTCAACAGCTACGATACAATTATCTTCACAAGAAACAAACACATATACTTTATATTGTGCTCTTAATGTTGTTACTTGTATATTTTCCCATTGCAGTAGTGTATCAATGTAAATATTTGAGGAAGAACTGTTGTGTCTGAGGCGTCCGTAATTCCCCCCAAATTTTTATTAGGCTGGTAAATACGGACACTTCTTAATTGATAGTTATGTTGTTCTTACAAAGGCTACATGTACCATAGCTGAGACTACACATCCGCCTCATTTCTCTTGTTATGCTTCAAACTTATATAAGATGATATTTCATAAAAAATATGATTATGTAATAAGAAAAAATATGAAAATAAAATGAAATAAGAGAAAATATGAAAATAAAATAACTGATATCAGAATTAACAAAATATTACACCTATATATAGATTGTTAAACTCGCATTATGGACTCCCCGGCAATATCACAGAATCGAAAGTCGTTGCGAAAAGTCTGTGGCAGGGTTGTGTGCCGACAGAATGTAGCAACCACTGGCGAAACATTGTATCCAGTTTCTATGGTTTTATTATGTGAGTGCATGATTAGAGTAGCGTGTCCGTAGTTACCCAAAATGTATCTGTAATTACCCTACACATGTCCATTTGACAACCGATTTCTCTATATTCCGTGTTTTGGTTTATATTTTAGTGTTCCTTTTACCAGCCAATCAAAAGTATCACTAAAAATAGCAACAAAAGGGACCTTCATTCTAACTAAACTTGTTCGTAAATGATATCTTTGAAAGATTGCACACAGCAAGTTGAGTAACTGTACCAAGGAGCGTGTGTTAGTAGTCATCATTTGAAAAGTGTCCATATCTACCCGGATGTCCCCTATAAACATCTGCTATAAATCTGCAGATGTTCTCTGGACTCACTCCTGAGCAGCGCAGCTATTCTCTAGTTTGGATTAATTGTATAAGTGCAAGGAATGTTCTGCAAGAAGCCTGACAATGCTTCAGGATCCTCCTCATTAATCCTAGGATGTAGATGGCCTTCTTGGTAATTAAAGTTTTCTCGTCCTGCAAGAAGATGCTAGTAGAAGTGTTGAGATCTACAGTTGATGTTTATAATGACACACTCACTTCTTCAAACTAAACATCATACCCCAAATCCACAGGTCCTTCTGAAGCTGTACAGGATCTACCATGCTTCTTATATATATGCCTGTCTTCTTTGCCTTCAACTTCCACCTGTGTGGTCCAGTTTGATAAGGAGCCCTTCAACTAGACAGGTGTTCAACGAGACATCTAATCTGTATGAGCATGTCTTGTGCAGAAGTTTGTTGTGGGGCACAGTATCAAAGGCTTGAGAAAAGTCTAAAATTGTCATGTCAGTCAGTTCCCCTATGTCTTATAATTACTGCTGCATAAGATCATACACTGTTGTGACCACAGGTGTCTCGCATGAATAGCCAGATCTGAAGCAGGAGTTTAGTGATATTAGTTTCTTATTTCATTAAAGATGTTCTAGGATATGGTTACATGTGATGTGCTCCAACAGCTTGTAAGAGACCCTGGTCAGAGATACTGGTCTGGTATTCTGACTATTCTCTACTTGATGTCTATCCCCCTTCTGGTAGCTTGCCTCAGTTGACCGAGCACTGAAAATTGGGTTGCAGGGCAGGTGCTGTTTGGAACAATTCTTCTAAATCTAAATGGTTTTGGATATCTTATCATGTCCTTGGACTTTTGTAGTGTTAATGTTGGCAAGATGATTCTCTGCATCGTTTGATGTAATGCCAAAAACAAGACTGGGTATACTATTGGGCGATCTCTGGGTCACATTGAGCAGTTTATCAGTGGTTTCCACAGGAGTGAAGACAGACTGAACTTGTTCAACCAGAAGCTGTGCCATTGATTGGTTGAGTGATAAACCATTGAGTTTTAATCGATCAATTTTGAAATCAATCCAAATGCATACATATGTGTGTGTGTGAGTATATATATATATTATATACATGTACAGCTGTGCTAAAAATAGTGTCATCAGCAAGGTGGAGTTGGTGTCCCTACAAATTGGAGTAGACCTTGCACTGTCCATATCAATTAGTACTATCAGTATTCCTGAAAACACCAACGTACACACATTGCACTGTATCTTACTGTTTCTATTTAAATCTGGTGATACTCTGGCTGCAAATAATGGTAGTTCACCAGTTATTTGGACATTGGTCTATTGCAATATTTTGATATATTTTCATATATTTTTACGAAGACCTAGGGTAGAGCCAACGCTAAGGTGAGAAGTGGCGGATAGGTTAGTCCTGGTGTCTACTGGTGTCACCCATGGTCTGCTGGTTTCACCAATAGTCTACTGGTTTCACCCATGGTCTACTGGTTTCACCCATAGTCTACTGGTTTCACCCATGGTCTGCTGGTTTCACCCATGGTCTGCTGGTTTCACCCATGGTCTGCTGGTTTCGCCCAAACATTGTTGGGCTTCATCAGGACAGTTTGACTACAACATTTTTCACACATATTTTTGATAACACTATCACGGTCAATTTGTATGTACAGTGGAGATCTATATACAGTGTATATATGCCATGTATTCAGGGATGTATGTTATGCATTTATCGGCATTTGCCCTTGTGGTAGGAAAACACAATCATTTGTTTTTCGCAAGATTACTGTAATCATGTTTCACAGGGGCAAAGCCTGATTAAAACATGATTAATAAAGAGTGGGGAAACAAAGAATTATGTTTCCCTACTGTAAGGACAATAGATATTTTAGTACAGTGCTGTATATCGATATAAAACAATAGCACGACAGAAAAGATGATCAGGTTTCCGCACCATTGTTGTAACATCTGCTTCATTTGGAACTTACAGAATGTAAGTGTGGTGCCTCTTGCTCATTTTGCTAGAGAGGCTCCAAATAAGGCAAATATTTCTCGCACCTCGGACAGAGATATCCCACTTCATACCCCAAGCTAGATTTTTCTAGTTCGTCCGATCTGTCTTGCACCTTTACGTGACATTTCGGGAATTTTTACAATGTGATGTATTCATCCGCGCGTTAACTGCTTAAAATTGGCAATCTGCATTAGAAATGTTCTGTTTTGTTGTTATATGTATAGTTTTGATGTTTTTAGATATTTGATGTTGTAGATAAAATATAATCTACACAGTGTAATACGTTGTCATCTAGGTAAGAACGGACTACATTTTTACGCAGAAGCATTCAAATGTAGCTTAAGTAGTGAAGATCTAGAGGTCATTATCATTTGAGGCCCCAGACGGGATACTTAGCAAAATTGATTTATTTTTTTTCGAACTAAAAAGTACGAGAGAAAAAAAATATACCTGCAAGTGAGCAAGGTCGGGTAATATCAGTCTCGGGTTAAGATTCTGTAACATCAAAACCTCGGTTGGGATTTTGTTACAGAATCTTAACCCTCGACTGAGATCCCGATCTCGCTCAGTTACAGGTAGATAACAGATTTTATTAGTCTTGGGAAGCTTGATTGTGTGAGAACATGATGTTTTCTTTCCCCATCATGTGATAATGTAAATTTAATGTACCCGGGGGGGGGGGGGGGGGGTGTACCTAGTTAATATAGTGCAGCATGACTACATTTCTACAGTATGGCTGTAGTATTACAACATGACTACATTGCTACAGTATGGCTGTATTATTACAACATGACTACATTGCTACAGTATGGCTGTATTATTACAACATGACTACATTGCTACAGTATGGCTGTATTATTACAACATGACTACATTTCTACAGTATGGCTGTATTATTACAGCATGACTGCATTTCTACAGTATGGCTGTATTATTACAGTATGACTACATTTCTACAGTATGACTGTTTTATTACAGCATGACTACATTTCTACAGTATAACTGTATTATGTACAGTATGACTACATTTCTACAGTATGGCTGTATTATTACAGCATTTCTACAGTATGGCTGTATTATTAGCTCACTATATAATAGTAAGGTATAGCAAAATTTATAGTATTAATATAACTTGCAGGTAGATTTTAGAAATAAGTATCTGGTTGACTTATCTATTTCTGCAATCCCTAACATCTTTAATCTAATAGCCCCTGGTATGATCCTTTTTCTTGTTACATGTAATTGTTACCCACATATTTTTTGTGAGATGTTTTGTCCAAATTTTGACGATTCATTTTCTTATTTTATTTCTGCAGCACCCTGGTGGTGAAGAGGTTCTGCTAGAACAAGCTGGTATGTATTTTTCAAATATTTGTACAAAGATAATTCCATAAATGAACCTTAAGCCCCTAATGATATCTTATTTCTGCATTATTCTAAAATCTGGTTGTTTCTTGTTATGTTTTTCGTCTGCTCTTCTTGAAAAAAGGTTTATAGGAATCAAGAAATGATATATGGTCAATCATAAGTAGTAAAATTGATCACAATGTGAGAATTTGTTCATCCTTACCAGAATGTCAAGAACAAATAAGTTGACACAATGCTTGGCCAACTGGTGTTATTTTCCAGAAATGTTTTTGATCCACATTCAACACAGCTTTGGTAATGTTTAAGTCTATTTGGGTAGAATCAGCTTAAAATGCATGAAAAATAAATAGATCTGTTAGTCACATCCCTATTGTATAAGCAGGAAATTAAAACACATGGAACATTTAAAATAAATTCCTTAAAAGTTCAAGCCAATCCTTAATACTTATCAAAAAATAAAACAGTCATAATGTCAAACAGGAAAAGATGCTACGGAATCATTTGAAGATGTCGGCCACTCAACTGATGCCAGAGAGCTGATGAGCGAGTACTTGATTGGAGAACTCCATGAGGTATGTACAGCCTCTCAAAATTGGATTAATTTCGGAATTATTTGATTATTGACATGGGATTTATCTGTTTGTGGAAAGAGTAGTGATTATAGCTACAACAGTTGAATAACCGTGTGTTCTTATCAGAACCGAAACCGGGTAACCATGTTTTATTGTGCCATGAACTACAGCCACCAAAGGCCTTTTGTTTTGATAAAAATTTGATTACTTATTTCATTAAGTGCATAAACGAAGATAACTCAATACTCATGTCTTGTAAATAGTTGTAAAACTTGCAAATCTTTATAAATTTGTTACATATCGCTAGCCTCCAAACTGGGAAAAAAATTTCGCAGTTTCACTTTACGCTCATTTGTTGTCAACACTATGCGCACTTATTTCTGAGCATCACTTCTTGTTGGAACAGAGAATGTCCGTCGATATTATGTTTACATTCAAAGTCTATTGCATGCATGCAATCCGTGGTATATTAATATTACTGATCACAAGTGCTTTTCGAGGTCTGTCAAACAACAGTCAGGAGTGACATACATTTTGGGACAGTTTTCATGTACGTAGATTTGCTAACCAGATAGTAACGGAACCACATTCAGGTAGCTAGTTACCCGTTCCAGCCCTACTAGTGATATGTAACGGAACCACAACCAGGTACCTAGTTACCCATTCCAGCCCTACTAGTGATATGTAACGGAACCACAACCAGGTAGCTAGTTACCCGTTCCAGCCCTACTAGTGATATGTAAATATGATGTTGTTAGTCCCCTTGTATCAACACCTTAGACAGAATAATGTTAACCTTTGTTTGGTGACTTATATTTCAGAGTGACAAGAAGGGGTCGACAATAAAGGTGTGTATACTGTCGTTTATTCTTGTTTGACTTTGTGAACAAGAAATTTTAATCTTCTTGTCTACATACATTCTGAGCTGCTTAATAGAAAAGTGTATTATGCACACACAGGTCCCAAAGCCAGATCAAATTCTTTTTTCCGGTTATGATATAGATAATAATCATTAAAAAATACAGAAAAATAAATTCTGTTGAAATTAGGTAGCAGAGTACAGTAGAAATAGCTTGACCCTAAAAATAAAGGGCATGTCTAAGATAAACATGGATAGCGGATTCATCCTAGGCAACACACCTACATATATAAACTACATTTTGAATAAATTTTTTTTAGAAGAATGATTTTTTTTCAAAAAGTGATTTCCCCAGATTTGGGACTTGTGAAAACCATGTTTACGACAACAAAAAACGCAAAAAAAAATGCAAAAAAAACATGATTTTTAACCCAAAATTTGACCCACGCTTTAAATTGAATATCACCTATACGGTAGCAGAAATACTCACGTTTTAGCATAGGTCGTTCAACTGGATTTTTCACAATATTTACACATGTGCTGAGGTAAAAAATAGACTACCTACATGAAAATCTAGCGTTTGTTGTGTAGACAGATTTGTAAATGGCCAAAAATGTAGTCTCAAACCAAATTCAAATTATTATTTTTTAAATGTGAAGCCCACATAGTCCAATTCATCATGTATATGCCAATTTTAGAGCTGATTTTTTTAGTTTTGATACATGTAATATTACAGGGGTTATTCATTGTACAAAAATATCACCCATGGCCACCATACGCTACTGTACACTGCTACCATAGTGTTACAGTTATGATTTGACCAGTTTTTGAGGTAGGACGATTGGACTACATGTATTGAGTAGAACTGCCCAACTGTCAAATTTTAAGTGATGTCGTTGATGAAATTTCATAGATGTGTGTATATTATGACTAAAAGTAAATGAATCTTTGTTCCTTTCAGACAAATACATCAATAAATGCACCAGATTCGGATTCAGGAAGGTAAGAATTATAAACTTGGTTCTTAAAACCGAAAGATTTGGGTTTAAACAATCCAGGTAGAATGGAGTAGGAATACATTGATACATTTGATATAAAAATTAAACTTATCAAGGGGGAAATAGTGAAATTACTATACATAATAGTGATATTTACTTCTATCGCGTTTGTGATGTAACGACACTTTTCATTGGTTAATAACCATGTATTGTGTGACAACATACCATGCAGGTGCATGTATTATTTTCCAACATACCAGCGCTTTTTCAAAAGTCTTCCCCCGCAAATATAAACAAGTGAGCTGCGAGGCTGGTGTCCTTTGTTGAATGATGATACAGGGTTTGATTTTGTGTGTATTCAAATATTTGCTAGTGGAGAGAAAAAAAATCTTCAAAAATACATCGGCTTAAGTAGACGAAATAGGGTCAGAAATGATAAAGACGAGCGGCCTTTTGTGTAGTGAAGACTTTCATTACATTTTTTGGCAAAATAGACATAACCAACACATATTTGTATATTATGGTGGAAAAGATAACCCGAGATTGAAAAATGTTGGAAATATAATCAACTCTGACTACAAGTGGCCTTTGTTAATGAATTTTCCCGCATTTGCTTACCCTCGTTATACAATCCACTATAACACAAGCACATACGGTGATTATTTATTGATTAAATTGCATATAGTTTAATTTAAATTTGATCTCTTACATATTGGAGGCTTTAAATTTTAATTTGACTGCATATAGAAAAACCTAGCACCAGTGGTAACTTTTACATATTTCATACTAACTATTTACAAGTCACGCACGACAATTGACACTGACTTTGAGCCGTCTAGTTATACTCTGTTGTAAATATTCTTTAGATTTATCCGTGTTTCTTCTGTTTACAGTGGCTGGACGGGCTGGTTACTTCCCCTCGGTGTGGCGCTGGCTGCTGCTTTCCTGTATCGCTACTTCATGTCACAATCTAGTTGAATTCTTCCACATTTTCCTTCCGACATGCTGGACCAAATGTTGTTGTGACTGATCTCGACTATATATTGCTTTGTGTGTGGCCTACAGGCTCCAATGGAACTCATCCCGAGACAAACTTATTTATGTAATCAGAATACAACTGTCATCTGTCTGTCAACGCACCAATGGATTTCCTTTATTGATTAATGTTTTACAAAAACATCACGTTTAAATTACTGCATTGTTAATTGTTTATAATCAGTAAAACAATTTTTTTCAGATCAGAAACATTTTTTGAAAGTTAGGTTTCTGATGTTAATATTCAGTATCATGCTTTTAGGTGTATGATTTCCAATCAATATGTGTATTGGACTTGAGACAAAAAATGTATTGTATTAAGTAGTTGAATATTTTATTAAAAACTCAGAAGTTCAGCTCCTGCCACAAAGTGCTTGTGTGGTTCTGTCTGCCTTCCTTCCATCAAATTTTCCTTGAAACAAAAGACCTAGAGTTAGGATATTTGGTCAGTAGCTTGCAGAATATAAGTCCTTCAAAATTTGCGAAAAATGGAATTATTTTACCTTCTTTCAGTGTCACAGGAGTCAAAAGTTTTAAACAACTTCTTCAAATAAACTGAAAACCCTAGAATCATAATATTAGGTGAGTAGCTGGCTGAGATAAGTACAACAAAGTTATCAGAAAACAAATGACGTTGACCTACATTATTACTTTCATGGTAAGAGTGGTCAAATGTGTTAAAACCTGCAAATGACTGCTTCATATCAAAACAAAAATTTGAGTCTTGATAAAAAGGTTAAAGTTTGTTAATATGAAAAGGCTTACGAAAAAAGTCACCTCTACATGTATTTACTTTCAAGGTAACATAAGTCCAATATTTCGAAAGAAAACCTCCAGATAAAGTCATCCAACGAGCGGAGATACATAGGGTTTTATAATTCTACCAATTACTTGAATAAAGGGCAATAATCTTCAAAAGACTTTTTCTGACATCTAAGATGTCAAGGATCTTGATATTTTACCACTGTTATGCTTGACTATCAAGATGGAATTCAAACATGATAATGAGATAGATTTAAATCTTTCGAGGAAGCAGGGGTCAGATATGTAAAAACATAGAGGAAAGTTTGCTATTATCCCGTAATTTCTTTTTTGTCTTATCTGTTGGGTTTATAGTCTTTTCAAAAGAAAATGCTGTGAGGAAACGTACATATGAAATTTGAAGATCTGTCAAGCTATACTTGAGAAATAACTTGAACAGTCAAAATTCATGATGGCTACCTGCTCTGATAGTTCACAGAATTGTTAAGGAGAATCACAGCGCTATATTTCAATTTTAAATCCGTTTCTAATGGGTCACTGAAACTTGTTAAATGTGATCGAAAAATGGTTTTAGCAATTTTTTTATTTTTAGGGGTGATCTGAAATCTAATTTTGTCATCGGAGTCACCATTTTGAAAACCTATTGAAACCTTAGACTCAAGTTCTAATGAACCATTTAAAAAGAAACCTGTTCGGGACAATCAAATTTTGGTCTCAACTTTTGAAGTTCGATCAAAAATCTGTCGTGAATGCCATTTTGAAAACCAATTTTATTTAAAACCCAAGTCATAAAGGGCTGTTTAAACAAAACGTTGGAAGGGAGGAGAAAGTGTTGTTTTATTCAGACTTATGACAGGCATTATGGAAGATCATTTCTAGCTTACACTTAAGTTACAAGTATGACTGTTTCAATGAAAAAAATACTTGGAAGAGAGTATCGACTGATGATCCTGACAAGATGTTATTTTTTTGAGATAATTACAAAGTTTCAGATAATAATGAATGATTGGGTTCTTACAGAAAAGCATGATAAAAGTCAAACAAAAATATAATGAAATCGTTGATAAGTTGGATTACAACATCTTTTTAGCTCACCTCCCCAAGGGCAAGTGAGCTTATGTCATGGTGTCCGTTGTCCGTCAACTTTTCCTTTAAACAACTTCTTATGAAGAACAAATAGGCATAGAGCCATGATATTTGACTGAAGGCTTCCTATGGATAAAGTTGAAAAAAGTTTGAGAATGAAAATGACCTTGACCTACTTTCAATGTCACAACGGTCAAATAGGTCAAACTCTTTAAACGACTTCTTCTGAAGAACTGAAAGGTATAGAATCTTCATATTTGGCTGGTGACTTCCTGGGATAGAGCCCGACAAAGATTGAGAATGAAAATGACTTTGACCTACTTTCAAGGTCACAACGTTCAAATATGTCAAACGCTTCAAGCGACTTCTTCTGAAGAACTAAAAGGTATAGAATCTTCATATTTGGCTGGTGGCTTCCTGGGATAGAGCTCGACAAAGGTTGAAATGAAAATGACCTTGATTTACTTTCAAGATTACAACGGTCAAATATGTCAACAAAAATAATCGAAAAGCACAAAATTATAATATTTGGCTGGTGGCTTCCTGGGATAGAGCCCACCAAAGTTTGCAAATAAAAATGACCTCAACCTACTTTAAAGGTCACAGAGGTCAACAGCATTTCAAAGGATTTGTTCTGAAGAACCAAAAGGAATGGTTTCATAAGGTTTGGCTGGTAGCTTCATGGGATAGAGCTAACAAATTTTGGGAAGGAAAATGACATTGACATACTTACAAGGTCACAGGGGAAAATATGTCAAACAACTTCTGAAGAAGAACCAAAAAGCAAAGAATCTTTGGCTGGTAGTTTCAACAGATGGAGCTGACAAAGTTTGCGAGTGAAATATATGTAGTGCAATATATTATTTAATGAGAATATTTTGAAGGTAATCATGCTTACTTTTGTGACTGATCGGATGAACAAAATGGCTAAAAGCCGCCCATTTTGGAGATTGACAGTGAATGTTTGTTATCGCTTTTTTTTCCGGAAGTTCTGGAGGGATCTTTCTCAGATTTGATATGTTGGTTCTCATTGGTCTGTTATTGTGCATGTTTACCTTTAAGACTAATCGGGTAAACAAAATGGCCAACAGACAGCCATCTTGTATTTTGACAGTGAATGTTTGTTATCGGTATTTCTCAGGAAATCCTAGAGGGCTCTTTCTCAGATTTGATATGAGGGTTCCCCATGTTCTTTAGTTGTGTATGAGTTTAAGACTGATCGGATAAACAAAATGACCGACATGAGACCATCTTTGATTTTGACAGTGAATGTTTGTTATCACTATTTCACGGAAATTTCTGGAGGGATCTTTCTCAAAGGTAGGGTCAACGCCTATGGAGATTTAACATTAGAGTCGGCCCCCACTTGGAATTTCAAAACAAGATAAATCCAAAAAGGTATGGGTATAGGAAGCTTAAATCAGGAACAGTTGGTTTCAGAATTCATTTGATGATAAATGGGACCTCCTTGACTTAACCTGTGTGGGTGTTAAAGGTGCAGTAATACAATTCCTCCTAGAGCATTTAAATGGCACAATAACTATAAAATTATATCGTCATCGTGTGCTACGTATTACAACTGTTATTTTGATACCGAATATTACACTATTTCAATAAAGAATTGTTCTTTTATTTAAGAATTAAGCAGAAAAATGTGTGAAATTTCAGAAATTTTCCATTTTTGACACGTTAATTCATCATACAGTTCTAAAACTAGTCTATTTTTCTTTATTGTTAAAAACTTGGCTACCAATAATATCTTTCAACATCAGGAATTTCAAAAAAAAATAAAACCGGTAAATTTGTCGTATACTACTTTTGGTCAAAAAAAAGAAAAACATAGCTTTCTTTCCACATTTCCTTTAACCTGTGTTTCTTCATGACTAAAGGTCATAGGGTGTTGATATTTGATAAGAAAGTTGTCATGTAAATGAGTTTAAGTGTTGTTAATGTTGATGACCTTGACCTTTGTTAAGGTCACAAAAAACAAATGTGTCGAAATATAGTCGGACAAAGGTATCTTTCCTTGCTTTATTTGTTTAGAGTTAACGATATAAAATAGTGTAATATCCCTTCATAGGCTACAAAAATAATAACTAGAACTGTAAGCCAAAGATTTACTAAAACCCCCGCTGCTATATAAACCAGAACTGTAATCTAAAGGCTAACTAAGGCAAAGCATTGCAAATTAATCCATAGTTTCCCACCAGTAATTATGTATGTATATATGTCACTGACATACTTCTTGTACTCCCTCCCTATGCCAAAAGATACTTTTATACCACATCTTGTTAGCCTAGATGACCGACTTTTGCTGAAATCGTTCTAGTAGTTAAGGAAGAGTTATCAAGACAAAGATTTTTAACAAAGGGCCATAACTCATTAAAAGGGTCGAAATGAACAAATACTACCCTGATGCAAAACATCAGGCAGACAAAGTTTTTTTCAAGAAAAGGCCATAACTCCTTTTTAAAGGGTCGAAATGAAAACATACTTCTATGATGCACAATGTCAGGGTCAGTTACCATATCTGTAAAATTCCGTTGAAATTGGCCCCATAGTTTGGAGGAGTTGTCTGGACAAGTGTTTTTCAACAAAGGGCCATTACTCCGTAAAAAAATTGTCAGATTGAAAAAAGAATTCCTGGATGCACACCATCAGATGGTTGTTACCATATCTGGAAACTTTCGTTGAAATTGACCCCTTAGTTTTGAAGGAAATAGCCGGACAAGGATTTTTCAACACAAGGCCATAACTTTGAGGGAAAAAAGGTCAGAATGAAAAAACAATACCTGGATGCACAACTTCAGGTGTCAGTTATCATATCATGAAACTTTCGTTGAAATTGGTCCACTACTTTAGAATGAACTGACAGATAGACGAATAGACAAGCTGATTCCAGTATACCCCCACCCCCACCCCTAACTTCGTTGCGGGGCTATAATAAAGTGTATACTAGTTTTGTTATTAAGATTATTTTAATTATTTTTAGATAATTGCACAGCTTTGTCTATAACACAATCTCAAACCTAAAGTAGTTCTCCAGAGGAAAGATTACTATGACAGAATACATATTCTTGAGTTATTACTGCTGCACATAACTTGAAAACATGCCTTACATGATAAAGTGTTTTAGTATGATACAAAAACAGATAATATATCGGTATTTATCATAGGTTTTGATATTACATAAAAATGATTATGTAGACAGAATACACATAAAGGAAGTTTTTAAATAAGTTTAAAATATAGAATACCATTATAAATATATAAAGGCAAGTTGACAATGTTAGTTTTATTTTAAATTTTGTTTAAAGGGCCGGTTTCCAAAACGGCCCCTTCTCTGATTCAAATTTCCTGTTGGTGGTGCATTGCCCATGCCGTTGTGGTCACAAATCTATAAAGTATAAAGATTTAGGTCACTTGGTTTGTTTTTTATGGCTCCTCAAAGTTGTACCTTTCAGAAGCTGTCTAAGTGTTGATAAAATGTGCATGTTATGTAAAATATTAATGAAAATCTAATCA